ATATATATTATATTATATTATATTATAAGATCCAAAGTTTTGCTCCACATCTTATCCTCAAGTTTTTATAATAGCTGTCACGCCCCAAAACCCAATTTCGAGACGCGACAGACACCGTGCACTCGTGAGACGAGTCCCACAAATGCACAAGGCTCGGAACTTATCACACCACAATCTGATACCATCAAAATCTGAAGATCAAATTATATAATTTGCTCTGATATCATAATCTCCAAATACAAGATTGTGATTCATATCTAAAATTTATATCCAATTACACTATGGCTAGCCTACTAACTCGTCACTTCCCGTGGTTTCCCCGTCCTCGGTTTCACTTCCTGAAATAGTGAACAAGGAAAACTATGAGATAAACTCAGTAAGTAAATATGGAGTGCCCTTTATTAAACGTATAGCATGCCAACAAGTGCAATCACGAAAAACAGATACAGTACGGGCACGAAATAGATGTCTCCTCTATAGGTCACGGCCAGTGTTATAAACCTCCCACTGGCGGGCTACAGAAATTACTAGTGTTTAACCCCCACTAGTAGGGTTACAAAAACGAACCGGTTCTATCAGTAACATGTCGACATGTGCTAGCGTTTAACTCCCACTAGCAGGATTACAGAAACATGACCACATCGGAGACAAAACAGGCAGAAGTTAACAGGAAAATCACAATTCACAATCACTTTCAGATCATCAGGACAGTCACTTAAATTTCAAGTAGGCATGCTCAATTTAATGAAAAGCATAAAACATTTCACTTCAAATCAGTCATACTTGTGTAAAACGGATTTAGTCCCGCCACCACTTCAAAAACAAATCAAAACATGCTTTTAAATCAAAGGGCGTTACCATAAATTTACTTACCTCACTTGTATAAAACCGAGCACTCAATTCACGTACTAACTGACAGAACGATCGGGAACCTAATCAAAATATTCAAGAATTAATTCCACTATCACACTGAAATCATCATTAGGATCATTCCTAATCACGATACTATTTCCTATCAATCTCCACATTATCAAATATCTCCAAATTCGTTCTTATATCACAAACTAATCACTTAAATCCCCGTTAATTGTTGGCCATCTGTATGTGAACAGTGTCGGTGAACAGTGTCGGTGAACAGTAACTCCACTTCCACAAATTGGCCAAAACACTAACTAATCTCACGGGATTTCACTCCAAAAATCACAACAAGCAACTAACACTCAATCACATAAATCTCACTTGAATTAAGCAACAAAACACACTTAAATCCCTCTTAATTGCTACCGAAATTTCCCCATTTCCTAGCCAAATTCGGACATCACAAGCAGCAACTTTAAATGGATAATTTAAGCCTTAAAAGGCTGTCACATACCATAATTCTCCAGCTGTAGAAACCGGAGCTGCAGGGGGGAAGGGGCCGGCGGCAAGCTGCAGGGAAAGCTCACGGGTTCTACCCAAAAATTGGAAAACCAAGAGGAAATTAAGGTAACCCAACTTAAATCAAGAAGAACAGAGGGAAATCATGGCTGTTTCTTACCAGAAAATCAAGGCAATTCGCACTCACAAGCAAGGAACAGCCGGCGGTGAGGAGCAGAGCAGCAGCAGATCCGGGTTTTCCAGCAGAGGGGGAGAGATTTCTGGGTTCTAGGAGTGTTCTAGAGCAAGAAAAGAAGGAGAAATCAAGCCTCCTTACCGGTTTTCTCAAAGGCTGGCTGGGTTTCTTTTTTTTTTTTCTCTTCGGGTGGCTGCAGCGAGAAGACAAGAAGAAGAGCAGAACACACGGGCTGGAAGAAGAAAAGAAAGAAAGAAAAAGAAAAGAAAAGAAGTTGATCCTTATCCAAAATCTTTCCCTCTTTAAGTCCCTCAACTTTTAAACTGTTGCTATTAAGCCCAAAATAATATTTTCTCACACAAAAACCCTTACTTAAATGCTAAAATAACACAAAATTTTGGGGTATTACAATAGCATTGTATGATATTTGTACTTCATTAATTTTGGTACCTCTCCCTATTTTAAAATCTTCAAAGTTAAAGAATATAATGAAAGATCAACTTAAAATTTGTCATAAAAAGACAAATATTAGATAGGTATCTCAAGTATATATTAAAACCAAATGAAACTATACTTAAAAGTGATATATTTATACATGAACTAAATGTTAGTGTATTTACTTGATTTAGATGAATAACATGAGTGAGAGTCTCCATGAATTAGAAAATATCATTAACCAAGACATTTACTTTTGGAGTTTCAATATTTTAGTTTTGTATAGTAAGAGCTTCCGTGAATTAGAAAATACTATCAACCAAGGCACTTACTTTTGAGGCTTTTAGATTTTAGCTTTATAATTTTTTATAAGTTTAGAGAAGGAAGATTAAGAGTTTTAGCTGTTGCAAATACTATATTTAAATTTAATATTAAAATTTAAATATAATAAATATAATTAATACTTTAATAGATAATAGTAGAATATAAAGTTTTATATGCGTTAAAACTTAATTTGGTTTTTACATGAAAGGGAAAATAAAAAAGCGCATCCCTATCTCTTCTCTTTTTTGATTTAATATGCATGTAATGAAAATTAATAATAAAAAAAAAAGAAAAGAATAAAGTAAAATAATTTTATATAATAAGTAATAAATATATATTATTACATTATAAATTATTATATATAAATGCATAAGATAGCATTTTATATATATATAGATTTAGTTCAATTAATAGTAATAAATAATCAGGAAACTAAAAATATTAATTAATCACAATAAAACAACTCCACGCTGCTATGGGATTTATGCCATCACGGGAAAAGGCCAACGCGTAATTTTCATCCACCTTTATTTATTTATTTATTCAATCCAATATGTACAGCCATGTTCCGCCAATCCAGTTATTCCTTTTTCCTGGGCAACACTTAGGTTTCTTATTGGTCCACGTAAGCAAATTGGGTCCCACATAAAATTGCAACTTTTTTTGATTAAAAAATTGCAATTTTTGGACGTATCTTAATGGTTAAATGCTAAATTTAGTCCCTCAACTTTAAGAAATAAACATTTTTGATCCCTCAACAATTTTTTACACTTTTTTGATCCCTCAACTATAAGAAATGCACTCCGTTAGTCCTTCTGTTAATTTGAGCCGTTAACTTCGCTTATGTGACATTTTTTATATTTTTTTTGATGATGTGGAAAGCAAAATTTGGAAAAGTGATGACATGGACAAATATTTTGACATGTCATATTCTATATGCCAAATCTATTCAAATGGGACCCACATCACTAATAAAGAAATTTGTGTTTGGTTAACGTGGCAATAAATTTATTTAAATGAGTCCCACATCACTAATAATTCGAATAAAACATAATATCAAATTAAATTTTATTGATTAATTATCATTAAATTATAATTATTTATATTAATTATAATTAAAATTCTAAATTAATTTATAATTAAACCATAATTTTTTCACCAAATTTTCTTTCTCGAAGGAACATTATAATTTCTCGGTAATCAATCTCGGCAACCAAACAAATTCAAAGCATTTTCTCAGCATCCAAACACCCAAACCATACCATTTTCCAGCCAAACAAATGAAAACCCACTAAGAATTGCTTCTGTTCTTTCCATTTTGAACCCTGCAACTTGGATAATCACTTCACAAACAAACATATAACAAAAAAAAACAAACAAAAAAGTGGAGCT